ATCCCTTAGAAATGAGCCACAGTGCTTAGTTAGAAAGTTTTTACTAATCTAACCTTAATCTGATTTAAATCTCCTTTTTTGCAGTTTAATTCCATCACTGCTTGCCCTATCGCTGGTGGCATGGATAACAGTTTACTGCAAAGAGGAAGATTTGTAAACTATTTTAGATCTCTACCCTCATTCTTCTCTAAACTAAAGAAACCCAGTTCTTTTTTTTTTTTTTCCATTGCGGGTCATGTTTTCTAGACCTCTGAATATTGTTGATTCTGTCCTCTGGCCTCTCTCTAACTGGTATGCCACTTTCTTGACCAAGTACGGCAGCTGAGACCATGAGTGGATGAATTGTTTCACGTTTCTTACAAGCGATACTCCTATTCATGCATCTCACTTTTTTTGCCACAGTATTCCATTGTTGACTGACATGCACGTCAATCTAGTTATATCCCCTAAATTATTTTCTGCAGAACTACTGCCACTGTGGTCTTTCTCCAATTTGTATTTTATATTTGGTTATTTTATACTACTTTTTGTTGAATTTTGTCTTCCTTATTTCAGGCCTTTTCTTTAAGATATCTAAATAACTTTGAATCTCAATTGCATCCTCCCAATTCACAATCATTTTCAGATTTTAATAAATGTATTCTCTCCTTTCCCTTGTTCAAGTCCTTAATAAAAATATGGAGTCATATTGGACTTGGCAGAGACCCCTTTAAGCAAAATTCCAGGATATATTAGCCATTAATAATTACTCCTTTGAATATAGTTTCCCAGCTAGCTGTGTGCTTATGTTATAGTAGTCTCCTATAGTATTCTCCATATTTTTGCTTATTTGCTTAAGGTGCTGTTACGTGGGAGACAGTGTCTCAAAAGCTTTTATATTACAGCTGTGGTTTCAGCTCTGTCCACAGTCCTTGGTTTGTTTAACATGACTTCACCTTGATAAATCAGTGTTGGCTGTTACTTAGCAATTTGGTTGCTTTGTGTTTACGAACCAATTAGGTTGATTTCTTCCTGGGAATTGAAGTTAGGTTATAGTTTCCTGAGTTCCTTAATCATTCTCCTGTTATAGACTGTTTGTCCTTTTTCATTCTTCTGTAACTTCTTAATCTTCCTTGAGGTCTCTAAAGATAATGGTTAGATTGTTTGAGATGGCTTCAACCAGTTCCTGAAGTACTCTAGGATGAAGTTCTTCCGGCTAGAGTTCTTGCCTCCTTATGACTGATAATATTTTTTTTTATCTCATCATAGCCATTTAGAGATGACTGATGCAAAAAAAAAAGGTTTAATAACACTTCAACCTTTTTTTCAATTAATGCACTTAACATGCTTTCTAATGTCTCTTGCTAGTTGTATTTCAGTCTCTGCTTTTGCCGTTAGTTTTTGCTTTTTCTTGCTCTTGCTGTACCTTTTATGCCCGTGGTTAGTGATTTTTTTTACCTAGTTTCTACTTGTATAATGATTCCTTGAGGTCACTGACATGGTTTAGCCAATTAGTCTCTTATTGCTTCTTTATTCCCTTTTCCATTGGGATAGATTGCTTATGACCTAAATATTTTTGTTTAGTTAAATAACTGTCAATCCCCATGCACTGCTTTCTGTCTTGTACTTGCTCTCAATGAGATATATCCAGCCAATTTTATGTTTATTGAAGTCCATTGTCCTTATTTTTGTTGTTCTCTTTCCTTCCCTCCCTAAGAATTATGAACCCATGTCATGGTCACTGGGTGTGTCTATACGAGACTCTAAATGCACAGTAGTGTGTTGCATCAAAAACAGTGCTAATATGCTACTGCGCAGTAGTATTAGCTACCATATGGTAGCATCACTAAAAAGATGTTGTGTGCTGGCACTACTGCCCAGTAGCACTGGTTACTGCACATTGATTTAGTACTTGGTTATAGAAGTGCTAAATTTTAATGTGCAGTAACTACGTCACATTAATGAACATGTAGACATGCCCACTGGCACCTACCTTGCTTTCCACCATTTAACATTTTCCCCTGTTCCTCTTTGTTGCTCAGATGCTAGAAGACACACCCTCCCTGTTAGTAGATTTCTCTACCTCTTTTATTTAAGTCACTATAGCATTCCAGAAACTTCAGCAGAGTTCTGCCATATTAGTATATTCATGCATATCTAGTTAGTTCATGTTCTGTATTGCCACAAAGTTCTGTGTTTTGGCTGATTCTGTTTATCAAAAACAAAGAAAGCCCCATTTACTTGATCTTCTTGGTTCTTATGGTCTGCAGTGAATCCCCAGCATTAGATCTCTTCTTTTATTTTATCTTTACTTAGAGGCTTTCAGTAGAGCTGCCTCCTACCACATTTTGGATGTCAGAGCAAGTGTATGTATCCTTTCTTTTGCCTGTCTTTTTCTGAACAAGGTGGTATTTCTTATCAGCATTCCAGTTATGGGAATTTATTTCAATATTTTTGTTATAGAAATTTCGTACATAACTTTAATTATGATTTAAACTTATTTTCTCCTGGTTTATTCCCCATACTACTTGCTAGTTGTGATATTGTATAGTTAGAATAAAAAATAAGTTTTCTATACTTAAGCTTACAGATCTTTCAAAATTAGTTCATACTTAATATAGCTATTGAGGCCTCAGTTCCTGGGTTTTCTTGTATAGCTGGTGACCTCAGAAGCTCATGGTGAGCAAGGAGATCTGTGAGTCTTTGTGATGTCATTAATTGTTTCAGGGAAAACATGAAACGTTCCTGGCCTTGTTTCTCGAGTAAGTGAAGGAGAAACCACTTTTTCATAATTTGTATCAAATTTTACTGTACACTGTGCTCCTGGTAATTAAGTATGGGTGCATACTTGGTTATATATGAAAGCTGCTATCGTGTTTGCTTTTACAGTCGAATGATACTGTTCTTTGACAACCTTTTAGAAAACTGAACTCTTCCACCTCCCAAAGCAATAGAAAAGAGCCCCTTGTTTTGAGTATATTGTATAATTGGGTCCATATGAACCATTATATTAACACTGATGGCTAGAAAATGGTATTTAGAGGTTTGGTTTTGGGAACTGTCTTAAAGTAGATATGCATTAGAGTAATGGTCCAGGGCAACAGCAAGGGTTAATTGTGTCACAAAACAGGCTTTTTAGAAATTAGTTTCCTCAAGGCCTGCTGTATCTGATGCAGGCAAGCAGCGAACAGACACAAAAGCTGGGAATTTGAAGACAAGTTCCACACTGTTCCATAACATGAGATAAGGTGGCACCAGGTCACAGTGCCCAAGTGCAAAGCCCTTGGGATTTCCAGTTTTGGGTAAATAGACAAAATTAGAAGGACACTGGTAAAGCCCAAATTAGGATGTGTGCATGTGATGGGTTTGTGAAATAAAGGAATATGCTGATAGGATAAAACATGGATAGTATGACGACCACAGAGAGACCAATCAGCGATGGCCAGAGAAGAGTCATCACAGAGGGGAAAAGAACACAAAAAGAAGGGATTTAAGAGCAGCGAAGGGTCCCTGAGAGGGGAACCCGAGGCCATCGTGGACAGAGGGCATACTACTAGCCCGTCATAATCCGCTCCAGTGTGGGGGAGGGGAGGAGGGAACTTGGCCTCCAACCTCCAGGCTGCTGATGTCTGACATTCAAGAGAGAACCTCAGAGTGAAGCTCACGTACTGGCCAGCTATACCTTGACTCTGCAGCTCTAGGCCTGGTAGATACAGAATTGTTTGCATCATTGTTATCTGCTGTCACTTGGTATCAATAACATTTGTCTATTATCGAATGGAAAAGTCGTGATCAGTCTGAGGGTTTTGGGTCCACTCAGAACAAGGTATCTGGGTCATAAATCCATCCAGCAAACGCAACTATTTTGTGTAGTGAAGAGAAAAAAAGTAAGCCTTTGAATTTGTGATGGCGATAATTTGGAGGCAATCTTTAACAGTATTGAAGCAGTATAGAATCATGGAAGAAGAAGGCAGGAAGGAACCTCGTGAAGTCATCTAATTTAACTCTGTGCACAAGACCTAGATCTTTGCCTGAACCATTTCCTTAAAGTCTTTGTCTAAACTGCTATTAACAACTTAAAAGGATGGGGATCCTAGAACCTTAAATAGTCTGTTCCAGTATGTAACCGTGTGCACAGTGAGAGGAGCCAGCTTAAACCCTTGCCTCAATATAAGGATGTTATTGCAATATAAGACAATTAGTTTTTGTCCTGAGCGGTGGTGAAAACAATACACCTCACCATGCCAGGGGAGGGTAAGTTGCAGCAGAGATGTCCTCTTGTTATTTTTCCACTCTGGCCAGGAAACTCTTATCCCTATAATATTCGCTTGAGCCAGAACACAGTTATCCCAAGAGTTCCAGGTTGATGTGGTTTAGGGGCTTGGGTTATGTTTGTCTTTTAATTTGTATCTTTCTAATGCATACTAAATTTAAACAACTGTCTTAAAAAAGAGGTGCTACAATGATTTCCTGACCAATGAAAAAGATCTGTAATAACAGGGTAATATAGTAAAGATATATGTACAAAGAATGGGGGAAAAAAGCTGTGGAATACTATCTGAAGTCGTCTCTGATAAAGGCCAGATTCAGTAACTAAAAAATAAGTGCTACCTTTTTTGTAAAGCAGATTCCTATTTACTGTATGTGAAGGACATTTAGAATGTCAGTTTCACAAATATTTACTTTAAAAGATTTTTTTTTAAATTGGAATTGAGATTTTGCGCTTTTTAGGAGAGGATAGATGTATTAAATAGGACAATTTGCTCTCCATAATACATGGTTGAATATAGAAAATAGCTATTTCATTCTTCTTGGTAAATCCAGAATATTAGCTGTGGATTTCAGAGAAAATGTTTTGTAATGATTTATCTGAGAGGCAGACACCTTTCTGTTTCTGTGGTAAAAATATTGGAGCAGAGAACTGTATATACAGGTATCTGTTCATTGTATTAGAAAAATGAGAGAGATGAACTGATCTAGAACCTGAGTCTTGAGATTTAACTCCAGCTTTCTATTTACAGAAAATATTCTGGGATGGCATGGGCCAAAGTCTCATTCTACTGATGAACTGAAAAATGGTGCCCTCAGCTCCTTATCGTCTGCTAGTGCCAGTTTAACATGGGCCATAGTACCAACTGCAATGCAAGATGGGCAAGCATTACAGTCGAATAGTGAGGTAAATGCAATTGACCTGTACATGTGATTCTCTTTTTAATTTGGCTTACAACAGCTCTATTTTTCAAGTGTGTTTTCATTCTTGTCTAGTTGTTTAATGGATGCTTTACTCATTCCAACTGCTTTTCAGCTTTCTGAAACTTGCATTATTTTAAATGTCTCAGTGTCACGTTAAACAAATAAGATGCATTTGTCAGCATAGTCCATTTTATAATATGTAAATAGGTTTTATACGGCACTTACTGTGTGTTTTTATTGAATCTGCGACATACTGGAGATAAACATACAACCACATGTGGTTCTACTCAGTCTGGAGCTGTTTTGATCCCCAATGGAAGAATTATAACGAGCCCATTAAGAAGGTATCTAATGATACATGGTTGGAGTGGTGGTTGCATATATTTTAACACTTCATGGAATAATGACTCCTTACTTCATACTGACATAGCACGTTATGACAATTCTTTAGTTGTCTGTATCAAGGATGCAGATGATAAAAACTGCCTAACACAGCTTTGTTTCTGAACTGGCAGGACGCAGCAGAACATTTATCAAGGTATTAATGTACATATTATGTGCTGATAGACATTTCTATAAAGCACTGTCATGCTGATGATCAACATATTATCTCTCTTTGAGGAATTTAGCAGCGAGGTCTGCAGTATACCTGCTAGTTCACACAGCGGAGTCTGAGGGTGAACGGTACAATGCCTGGTAATATAATTCCATTGTGATGTTAATATTTGGGTTTCAGTGAAGGAGATAGATAGCTTTGTAAGGGGTGGGGGGTTGTAAATTAATTGCAATGGAAAACTTGAAATCGGTTCTGCACTGCTTGGGTATCTCATCAGGGAGCACTGCAGAGAAGCACACTTCATCTCCTCTGAGCCCACTACCTTTCAGAACAGAGAAGAGTTCCAAGATACTTTTTCTCTGTCTGAATAGTTAGAGGAGATTGTGGGCAAAGCTTACTGTATTACATTGCATCTTGCACCAGCAGGGTAATTGTGCCCCTGGGAGATTCACTTGAGGAGTTTGGTAGTGGAACATCTTTGATCTCTGCAAGGGGTTCCATGTTGACATCACAGAGGGATGCACTGGAACAGTGTGCTGTTCAAAGCAGTCTGTTGTAGCAACACCATTAAATTCTGGGACAGCACTGCTGACTTCAGTAAGTCTTTTTGTGATGGAGGTTTTGGTCACTTGCGTCTGTCATGTGCTCCACCGTGGACAAGTTCCCTTTGCAGAAGCTGGGGGGTGGTGGGGGCAGGGGGGAAAGCTCGCATGTGGCGGAGAAAGCTCACTGCCATCCACCCCCCTGCACTGCTGTCGCTCCGCATGCCCCCTGCTCCATGTGCAGCATCAGGCCAAAACCCCCCTGCCCTCAGGTAAGTGGAATTTTTATATAACCGTCACCCCACTTACCCCACTCATGCTGGATAACAAAGCTTTTACTGTATTTTTTTTTCCTTTAATGAAATATGTAATGATCTGAGACTTGCCCATCAGCGAAGTATTACTCTCAACCCTGTCATACCACCCTGAATTTAGCATAATGAATTAAAAATGGCTGTTACTGTTACAAAGTTAATTTGCAATTTTAGCTGAACGTTGTTCACTGCATTTAAGAAGGATTGGAAGAAAGGGGCTGGACTCCATCTTCCGAGGTCCCTTCCAGCCCTAATGTCTATGAAATCTATGAAACATAATTCATATTTCTTCCAGCATTGAGGTCAATGGACAGCAGATAAGCATATGATCTAAATTTTCTGCCTTTGGAAGTTGTGTAACTTTTTCTTTCAAATAAGTAAGCTACATTTCTCTTAGCTTATGCATACAAAAGAAAAAAAAGAAAAGGTAGGGGGGAGACAAGGTTTTTAAAGAGCACTATTGTGAGAATAATTTTATTGCTCCTAAATAAACTGTAAATTGTTTCATTGGGCTTTTGACATGTTCAGCAAGAGATAAAGTTGGCAAAAATAACTGTCAGTTATATCTCCTGGCATCCGAGTGTGAACTCCTGCCAATTTTGTCCATAAAGCCTCTTTATGATTCTTTCTTTCCTTACTTTTTTCCCTGTCAGTGTGATATAGTCTTTTTATTTCAGTTGAGAAAATGCCTCGGATGTTAAACTTTTAAGGAGAAATAATTGTATTATTTTCCTCTCCTGTTCATTTTTTTTAACCAGCACAGCCTCTTTATTTTTCTTATTACAGCATCTTCTTTGACAGCTAACTCAACAAAAGTGAATTCTAAGCAGCTGTAGCTTGGAAACGGGTTTGCTGGAGGATAATTGATGATACATGCTGGGCATAAATAGCTTGACCTACAGAGTGTTGAAATTCTAGATTGCAGTTTAAACCTCAATGGCATGTCAGTGCCCCAAGTCCCACCTGATTATGCCCAACAGAGTTGATAAGGTGTGGACCCAGAACATGGCTAAGGTATCTGATTCCTCTTGCCCATTTTCACATGATAGACTTTACATGATATTCATTCTCCTTTTTCCCCCTGTTTATTTTGATATGTATTTTTAAAAAGTCCTATTGGGTAGGTAGAAATGCCGGTCCCTTTGTCATGCACATTTATCATTCATAAAATGTACTGGTAAAGAGAATACATGAAAGCATGTTTTTGTCCACCTAAGCTCATCTAGGTTCCCATCACAAGTGATGATAGAGATGCTGCCTATGTCAATGCTTGCATTTCAGCAGCTGCCTCTAAAAGGCTTCTGCTCATTGCCTGCTCTGAGTGTTTGAGCCAGCACATGCCAAGCACTGTGATCTGGTATGTTATTTGTCAAGCATTTGGTTCTCTTCTGGTCAACTTTTATGCAGTCGTCCTGACTATAGGCTGCATGCCTTAACTCAGGTCCCTGAGGAACAGCTGTTTATGCAGTACGTTGGCTTCACTAGGCACTTGTATATTGTTCCTAGTTTCCATGTATGATCACTTTGCTTTATGTGGTACCATATTGTTGAATGACCCATGCCACCAGCAGATCCTCAAGATTAGCTTCAAGCATAGCTGATATGGCTTTTTAGTGTGACCCAAGTTTTGCCAAAATCGGGGAGGCTGGGGAGCACTGTGCTTTATACACTGAGATCTTTGGCTCTGAAAGCCCTCTTTTCTGCATGAGACCTTGAGGTAACAAAGCTTCCAGAAGCACTTTGCAGTCCTCCTCTTTATCTCTGCATTAAGTGATTGATCGGCAGTTGCCTTGCTTTCCAAGTAGTGAAAGTCAGAGGTTTCCTTCTGTATTTTTCCTTCTCTGCCATGGTGGTCCCCATGGCACATCAGTCTTTCCATAACTCATTTGTAGGCCCCAGGTGACTTTTGCCTCATCTAGGGCAATAACTGTTTGCTTGTTGCAGCTTGACCTGATTTTTTTTTTTAACCTCAAAGCCAGTAGTGTCGGCATACTGTAAGTTGCTAGTTGCTGCCTTGAACATGATTTACTGAAAGTGAAGAACTTGCCATTTTTATATATTACTGTAGTTTGAAGCTTTGATGTGGGTGTGCTGTCATAGGCATTATGGGGGGACAAATGTCAGATGCACAGTGAAGAGGACAGGAGCCTATTATGCAGCTCTGTCTGATACCAGGTGTGATGTCAAAAGAGAAGGTCTGTGTATGATTGCTAAAGCATGTGACCTTTCATCCCATCATGAAATCCAACAATCAGGTGGGCATTCTTTCCTGAATTCATTTCTATTCATTCACTTCTATTTTCAGAACCTGAAAATAGGGCCCATTACTAGGTCTGAGGAGCAGTCACCTCTTTAATTTCCACATTGGTGGTGGTTTGCAGTGAGAGCAGCTGCTGTGTTGTGTTTTATAACACTTATTGCTACTTTTAATTTTTCAAGTATTGTCATTGTCTTTTATTCATATATAGGATATTTTGATAATATTGGCAGTTTCCAGCATTGGAACATCATAAGACAGGCTTCAAACTCATGATGTTAGCCAAAAATCACGTGCACTTAAAAACCAAACAAAAAACCAATTTCCTGCCCCCGTAACTTTTATAACTTCTGATTCTGAAGATGCATTGCAGTCTCACTTTTAGTATTTACTGTGACCAAGATGCTTCTTTTCTTTCCCTCCGTTCCCTCTCCTTCTCCACCTTTTCTCTTTCTTTTCATGGAAGCTGAGATTCTCACATAAATACGTGACTCCAGAAGCTGGGGCATCAGAAAAATATATTTCAGATTTTATAACATCATAAAACTTGGGCACATTGCATGATTTGGCATGAACTGGAGTTTACAGAACTCTTCCTATTTCTCAACGACCGTGAGTAGCTTCCACCTAAAATGGATTGAATACAGTGAAGTGCCTGGAACACTAAACAGAGTTCTGGATCCTCCTCCCTTTTTCAATTTATAGAAAACTCAATTTGCTGTAGGATTTTTATTTTTTGAGTGGGTTAGGGAGGAGCAGGAAGTAGTTTTGTGGAGAAATTCTGTGCTTTTCATGGTAAATTGTCTTCCCAGTCTGGGGCCATAGCCCCAAGGGGAAAGAAGAGAGCTTTTTGGCTGACATGGAGCATAATCCATTAGATGTACCAACTAAACAAAATGTGAATCGACCTATAGCTTAAAATAGAACAAGCTATTACGTTGCTACCCTTGAGGAAATCAGCTGACTCAGCTGGTTGTGTTATAGAATTTTATTTACAAAAAGAAAGACTGAAGCAACAAAAGCACTCTGTTTTTTATCCTCCCGTGTGATGTAAATACGTAGCATATTGCTTGAATCTGGCTGGCTGCATCTGATTTAGGCTTAAGTCATGAAGACTATCAGGAAAGAAGATTGAAGTTCTATGTGAAACATTCAGTATACCACTGAATTTCATTGTTCAGCAGTGATTTGAAAAGAAAAAGAGGGTAAACATTAGGCTGGAGAGACTGCTGAAGAATCCCTCGCAAATGTAAGGCCATAACCTCCATGCCGACTGTTTTCTGGCAGTGTTATCAAAATGCTCAGTCTGTTTGC